TGTCCATGAAAGGCAAACATTTGCTGCAGAGCGGCGAAGAAAACGTGGTCACATGTTTCTGATCAGCATCGCCAAAGAAGCAAACGTGGATCGGTTTACTTTCCAGAACATTGAACATGTGCAGAACCAGAAAATCAAAGTGTTTCTGTGCCGGGGCGAGCTCACAGTGGTTCACATTTCCTTAAATTAGATTTCAATGAATATGTAAAACATGATGTAACGCGCCGGGCTCCCTGCAGACGCCGAACCAAGCTCAACCGAGGAGCTGGAGGCCTTTTAAATAATTAAAGTGTTTTCATCATGTGGTGCCCAGAACAACTAAACACACAGAAATCACACCCACACACACACTGAGGTGCTTTGGTCCCGTCACGAATCATTAGACCTGAGATTAAAAAACACTCCGCCTGCCAGCTGCCTGCAGCTCAGTGACGCAGTCAACAACCAACATCAGCCATCTGTGTGGGTGTGTGAGAACCACTGTGAGCCTTAGTTGCTGTTGCACCGCTGTATCCCCCCTACACACACACACGCACGATGTTGAGTCAAACTTGTGCTGGAGCCGGTCGTCCGCGGCTCTGCGTCGGCATGTCGAGGCAAAGCGAACACAATTGAACCGGGGGTCGCGCAGATTCAGTCACGTTTTCTAAAAATGTGCCAGAAAGTGATCATGTGATGTGACAAAGCGGCCGTGAATGGTGGGAGTCGATTGAGTTGAAACCAACACACAGCGTTTACGTGAAGTGACCGAGGTGACGTAAGGTCGGCGCGTAATGAGTAAATGGATCGTTTAAAGAAGTGATTGAAGTTGGTAAAAACAAAACAGACACATGTTTGAAATTAAGTAGAATAAATGGAGTTTAGTAGAATGAGCTGGAGTATATATGGTGAGTGGATGGTCTTTAGTATCTTTGTTCACAGTAGTGACAGGATGTGAGCCGCTAACCGGGATAAAGTTAATGAGCGGAGCAGAAGCTGAGGCAGCTGGGAAATATACAAATAACAAGGATGCTCGCAAAAGAAAGGATGGAATAGATGAAGTTTCAAGTGACAGTAAAAGCATGAGCAGCTGGAAAATGGGTGATTTTAAATTGATGGGTGGAAACGAAGAGATGATAAGCAAATGTGGTTTTACAATGTGAAAAAAGTATCAGATAAACTAAGTGATGCCGTGGACCAACTGGAAAATATGGAAGTAAATGGGAAGAATGGGAGCGAAGGGACTTTATATGAGAGAAGTGATGGACTGGAGGCAAATTAGATGCATGGTCGATGGATAATGTGCAAAAATGTGATAAAAGTTCATTAAAAATGTGGAAAGTACAGCATTGGAGCAACTCAGCAAGCCAAACAAAGCAGCGTCAACACTTTGTCTTCATCTGTGCCTGACGGAAAAACAGGAAGCGTTAGATAATCAACCAACAGCCGAGCTCTGCACTTTTCAAAACAGTCCCAACCCCCCGTGATGTTCTGTAAACATTATAAAAGAAAATAAAAATGCAGTAAAGTCCATTCTGACTTCAGCGCACATTAAAATAAAACAATTCAGCCATTAAAATACTAATTGAACATAGTAACAAAGTCAAAATAAGATGACGTATATAAAAAGTTTTATTTATTTTTGTTTTCCTCCATCA